TGAGAATCCAAGAACTTGGAATGAAAAAATTCAAGAGCCAAAAGAAAATTAAGAATTTAGAATAAAGAAATAAGAAAGAATCAAGTACCTACCTGGATTTAATTGGAAGAAAACATTTTCTTGCTAATATTTCACTATTATCACTTGTTTTATGACTTTCAATTTTTGTCTATTCCAGGCGCTAGGCTCACGGAAATAATTCTGAGGTTTTTAAACTATTCTAAAGCCTTTCCAAATGCTTCTGGAAAGTGTTTTGGAACGTTCTAAATGGCTTATTGGAGTGCTAACTTGACTTGAAGAGTTCTGAAGCATTCTAGAAGTTTTTCAGTCATTTTTTAAATTGATCTGACTGATTTTTAAGCATTTTAGATCCCTATTGAAGCTCCAAAGTATTCTTAATTGGTTCCAAAGAGTTCTAAAGGTTTCCAGTTCTAAATAGAATCCTCATAGACATAGTTTCTCTATTATTCCAAAATGCTCCTGAAAATTCTGATTTGGATTTGAACTGTTTTGAATGCTTATTAAAGATCTAAGGTTCTACAGCAATCTAAATTCGCTCTTAAAATCCTTCTGAAAGTTGTTTGGTAACTTTTAACCTGAATCCTAAAATTCTGGCACTTTTCAAAATGTTTCTGAAGATTTTAAGAGACAAGAGTGCTTGAGTGTTTTGGAGCGTCCTAAAATGGGTTTCAAACTTCTGAATTTTTACATGTTTTCTAATAGCAATGACCATTTTACTTGGAAAAATTGCCTGATTGAGGTACTTGTTTAAATTTGCTGCTGTGGTAGAGGTACTCAATATTGAAAAACCAAAATTTTAAACCTGGCATATATTCTCCTTTCCTTTGAACATTCACTTACTTCAAGTGGCATGAAAAGCGTTTTTTTTTTCAAATTTTCATTGTAAAAATTTTCTCCAGTAAAAATCTACTAAATAAATGCAAGAGTCTTGCTGCAAGACCAAGACTGGACCCTGCAAGACCAAGACCAAGACCACTTATTAGACTGCAAGACCAAGACCGCATATGCAAGAGCAAGACCAAGACTAGCCCGGTCTTGCTCTTGGTCTTGCATTTGCTCATCACTAATAATAAACAGGCAATAGAATATGGGAAAGTCTATTCTACATACCGACTTTAAAGCTTATTCTTTGAATCCGACTAGGTATCATCTATTTGAGATGCTGTATCTTTTGTGTTCTATCTTGTTTCTGGGATCTTAGTACATACATATCTCCATAGAATCGCACCTCTCAAGTCTGATTCCACGCAAAGCGAGATTTTTTATGAAACTAACTTGGGTCCCATTTTTAGCCTAGGCTTTTGATAGAACTGAGCTCATCTTTGTCATTGGTGCAGGATATGTTTAACTCACTAGGTGGAAGGTCGGCAATAAGAGAGCTGGACGGTCGCTGGCTTTACGATTGAGAACCGCCCAGTTCTTCCTTCATTACGTATTGGTCTCTTCTATAAGGACCTTGGCTGCTAGTTATATTCCTCTTGATTGGCTAGTTCCTGGAGAGTTCACAATGGTAAATAGGGAGGTAATGGACTCCCGTAAAAAGCAGTGACTGGGAAGTGAGGAAGTATTTTTCAACTTATTAATTAATAATTAAATTGGGGCTATATGACAATCTACCGCTATACATTTTGTCACCTATAAGGTCTTGTCCAAGCACATAAATGCGGACATAATCAATGACGCCAATGAAGACCTATAATCTGGGAACTGAAGCCATGTAACCATCAAATAGTTTCATAAAATCCGAATATTTTTGATAGATCTTAGGATTTTTGGATAATTTTGCTTCAAGCATGCAAAAATTGAAAGTATGCTGAAGTTTGTGTCCAGAAGGGCAACTGGGGTCGACGCGAAATATATAGCGTCTTCTCCACAAATATCAACCTCACCTAGTCGCTACATCTCAGAACTTGTCGTCTCGTGGCATAGGGGTCCTGAGACGACAAGTCAAGCAAATTTTCTTGTGGCATAGGGGTCCTAAGAAAATTTGCACGGAGCTGCAACCAAAGCTGCACTGATGACGCTATACCAGTCTAGCTTTAAAAAATTACAGACGCAGCTCCTTGTTCAAAAAGATGAATCATCTTAACAGGACAAAATCAGTATTCGAAGGTAAACTACCCTGGGAGGGTGCCTGTGCGAGTGAATCATCGAAAGTCCACCAATCAGTACATTGCTTCTGCCGCATGGAACGTCAGAACCCTATTGGACAAACCCAATGCTAAACATCCTGAGAAATGAACTGCTTTGATCAACAAAGAATTGCAGCGAACGTCTATTGATATAGCTGCCCCGAGCAAGACTCGTTTTTCTAATGAAGGTTGCCTAGTGGAGCAAAAATATACATTATTCTGCAAGGTCTACCGGATGGCGAGCCTAGAAAGCATAGGCTTCGACATAAGAAATGATCTGGTTCACAGACTTGAAAATTCAATTGGCATCTCAGAGCGTCTGATGACCTTAAGATACTCTGTTTCCAACAATGCCTTCGCTAACATAATATCAGTCTATGCTCCCACTCTGGACGCAGCAGATAATACAAGAGACTGCTTTCACGACTCACTTGTTGCAACTCTAATGAAAGATCCCCAAACACGAACGAGTTGTCCTTCTTAGCGACTTTAACGGCAGTCGGTAAATAATCATCTGAATCCGAGTTATGACCAGAAAAAATTGGAAAGCACGGCACCGACAGGATCAATTCAAACGGAGAACTACTCCTTGCCTTTTGTGCAGTGCATGATCTTTGTGATATGGTTCACTGTATACAGGCTATCCCAGCCGAGAGTGATCAATTGAAATGCTTATAACTTTTAAACCAGTAGGTGTTCTAGCTACCTGCGGTTTGCGCCATTCGGCTTCTCTTGGCCTAAAGTTCTCTTCAGTTAGTTGCAAATTTTTCTGATACTTATAAAAGGCTAGTAAAAAATGCTGTTTTTCAACATCGAAATTTTCCACTATTTTTAATGGAACACCCTGAATATCACGTCAAAAACAAAACAGTCATGTCCAAGGTATCCATAAACCAATAAACATCGTCCTTGTTTATGCTTGTCTGATAAAAAGGCAATAAAAACTGCATGAAACTAGAAAAATTGCTGTATATGTTGGCCATTAAGGGCCATTCTGCTGTAAATGGTTGATGGAATTGGGTAACATTTCCTGGCGAATCGTTTCAATGACATTACGAATGTTCCGCTTAAGATCTTGACTTAACCTCGGAAAAAGTCTGGAATTGTCAAATCAGGAGAGTGGTTTTTGAATGTCTTGGGGTATTTTAGAATGGTTCTGTAATTTTCCAAAATTTTCTGAAGCGCTACAGATTGCTTTTGGAAATTCTTATTTGAGTTTTAAGTGTTTTGAACTTTCCAAAAGGCGTATCAAAGTGTTCTGTAGCACTCTAAATGGTTTCCAGTAACTTCTAATTAAATGACAAACGAATTCTATTTCTGTGGGAAATTTTTGTACACATCTTAAAGACGTCCCTTAGATGTCCACAAAGGATATTCAAGACGTCTTGCTAACCTACGTGTCTAAGTTTTGAATTTTCAGTCGCTCGGTGAGGTGTCCTCAGAAGTTAAGGAAGCCTTGAACGTTCAGAATCACATGACTATAACTTGTCAAATAGTAGCAAGTGTCCATTCTAAGCTCAGGACCCCTAAGGAAGATTCAAGGAACGACTACAAATTCGGCCCTAAGGCATCTTAAAGACATCTTGAAGAAGTCGTATGTTACAATACCCAACGTCTTTCAGACGTCTACCTAAAGACGTGTTTAGGATTGAGACATTGTAAAGACCTCTTCAACGAGATGTCTTTAAGACGTATTTAAATCTCTTTCCAATACATAAACCATTATTCACTTTTGGGACTGGTTGTACTAGATGGGTTGTCTTTTAAAATGTGAATATACGACATCTCATGAACATCTTCAAAACAACGTCTTTTAGATGTCTTTTTTTTTTGTCTTCAGTCGCAGACGTAATTCAGACCTAAAAAAGACGTCTTCGAGACTTTGTGTGCTGTCTGGGTTTCATCCATAAGGAAAACTGTGGTAACATTCAATGGATTTTAGTACTGCCAGAAGGAGGTTCTGGCCATTCAATCTTTTCTCTGAGAGAGAATCGCTCCTAATCTAAATTACGAAGCATCGGAATTTTTTCCAAACAATTCTTCAACCGGCTACGAAGCACTGGTCAATTTTTTTTTCAGCTACACGAAGGACTGTTGACATTCGCTGTGCAATTAAAGTCCCGTTCTTCTCAGTTAGTTGAAGTTTCTAACTCGCGGTAGAAATTGCGGAGTCCTAGAAAGCCTCTGACTGAAGAGCTTGTTTGTTCATTGGTCATCTCACGAATCTCTATTTCTTTGGAAGAAACTACGAGTCCCATGAAGTTAAAATCAACTGGAGTCAAGGATAGTATTAGAAATTGGAGATACAGAAGACGAACCAGTAGAAATAGCCAGAAAGCCTACAGATGCTGTTGAAGATCAACTTATTTATTCTGTAGATAAAGTGAAAGTAAATGTGTTCTGCAGTTCAATTAGGCGACAAAATATCACTGAATTTAAGGATGACGTACCTACGAATTTATCTGTTAAATAATGATTCTGAAAGTTGTTTGCTTGATGGTTTGTATGTACCTATAACTATTATATAATTACATTTTAAGTGTGTAGGTTCTTTTGGTTATTTTGCTCTCATTACTACATGCACGCAAACAAGCATCGTCAGTTTCTAAAATAATAATGAATAATAAACAATTTAATGTCCGATACCATGCAACGCAAAACATAAACACCAATATTTTTAAAAAAAACCTTATCAATGCTGTGCAGAAGCAATTATTGCAGAGATCGTTGCGTGTCAGTATCATCGGAATTAAGATTTTTGGTCTTGCCCTACTATAATAGTTAACACGATGAGCGATTTGCTGGATCATTATACAACAGAGTCCAATGTTTTTTATTTTCTTATAGGCTTTGCCTCTAGTGACGGTAATAGTGGGAAGAAAAATTGCAGGCGATATCACAACAATTGTCACAACAAACCAAGATGCTGACGAGCCTAGAACAATCAACATTGAAATGCCAAATGTCAATGCTTTAGTTAGGACTATAGAGCATACCGGTCCTAAATGGAGTCTTTATGTTAAAGGTGAGAAGGTAAAAATTATACACAGTCAAGTATTTCACGCTTTCCAGATAAAACTTTGTGAGATCTAAAGTTTAAAATAAACACTTCAAATTTGCTATTGAAGCTTGCTATTCATCCACATAAAAATTACTTTATCTGTTTTATTAGGCAAACAAGATTCTTATTTGATTTTAATTACGTCAATTCGCCAGTTGAGTACTTTGAATGATAAAGGAGCTGATCAATAACTTATTTGGCTTGCTTTATAAAATTGTTGGATTTCAATTGCATACTTGATAAGACAATCGTTTTAGGCTTTGAGTGCGCCCTCTACATCATTTGCCATCTTCATGACATTATCCACATAGCAACTATTCAATAAAATTTTCACACTGAATTGGATATCTGAATCCTCATCTGCAACCAATTATACGAGGCATTTTGTTTAAAACCAGCTTTCCAGGAAATTTTCTGAGTTGAATCTTTTCCTCAGCTCAGCACCTTCATGAACATCAGTTAAATTCAATGTCTTTTTTTAGGTGTCATTGCAAATTACCATGGACCATGTCCACCAGCGTTCCAAGCAGTAATTCATACCAGCGTACCAACTGGAGGAGGCCTATCCAGTAGTGCCGCTTTGGAAGTTGGAACATACACATTTTTGGACGCACTTACCGGAGGTTCACCAAACGAATCGTAACTTCCAATTTGTTTCTTCTTAATATTTGGTTTATTTAAAAAATATATATTTTAGACTGAATGATAAAGCCCTAGCATGTCAGAGAGCAGAACACCAATATGCCGGTATGCCTTGCGGCATCATGGATCAATTTATTTCGATGATGGGCAAAAATGGCAATGCTCTTTTAATCGATTGCAGGTAATTGAGGCCTTAAGGCAAACACTGCTTATTAATATTCAAATTTCCAGGAGCATGACTTCAGAACTTCTTCCACTTGATGATCCACAAATTGTCGTATTGGTAACTAACTCCAATGTAAAGCATGAGCTTACAGGAAGTGAATATCCAACGAGAAGAAAGCATTGTGAAGAAGCAGCTTTGATTTTGAAAAAAGTCAGCTTGAGGGATGCTAATGAAGCAGATATTGAATGTAAGGCTTATTGCAAAAATCTTCAATATTAATAACACTAATTTACTATTATAGATCTTAAATCAATTGAAACTGATGATACTCTCATTAAAAGGGCCAGACACGTGATAACTGAAATCCAAAGAACTACCTTAGCGGCAGCTGCACTGAAAGATAAAAACTATCAAAAATTTGGTAAACTAATGGTGGACAGTCACAATTCGTTGAAAGACGATTACGCAGTGTCCTGTCCTGAATTGGACAGTTTGGTGTGTTTGGCTCTTGAAGTTGAAGGTGTTCTGGGCAGTCGTATGACTGGTGGTGGGTTTGGAGGTTGCACCGTGACATTGGTAATGTAAAACAAATACTACTCAAGAAACTTTTTATAATTTAAATTTATTTTCAGGTTTATTCCCATGCTGTTGAAAAGGTCATTGACAATATCAAAAAGCATTACAAAGGAAAACCGACTTTCTACGTTTGCAAGCCAAGCCATGGTGCTCAAATAATTCATAAATGATGTCAATGATATTTTTTCTATAACTAACTATTTAATTAATAAATGGGGGGGTTTAATAATATATTTTTTTAATTCTGTTATCATGAAGATATTATAAAATAAAATATTTATTATATAGATTCCTTTTTTTAAATACCTAATCCATTTCAAAGAACATTAGGCAGGAATATTGTCAGTCGCAAAACTGAATAAGTCGAGGAAATCTTGGAGCTATTTTAATTTGAGGATTTTAGGACACTAGGGCTTTTGTTTTTCATTTCACTCCCACATACATATTATTTCGTATAACGATCTAGAAAAATGATTCTGAATTCAATGAGAAGTAGTTTCAAGAGTTATTTTAATCAGGATTAATCACGAGGCAGGTTTTCCCAGATATGATCCTCATGAACTTCCCAATATGTTTTCAAAAATCTAAATGTTAAATAGAAATTGAACTATGAAACGGTTGAGCGAAATAACACTTCGAATAAAGCGACGTTCTGATTTAGTAGCAATTAATTGAAAATGCCTTCAAATTAAAATAAATAATTAAATAAGAATTTGCCAGTCTTGCTTCAAACCATCAATGCAACAGGTTGCTAAACTAAATTACCACATCCCGCAGCGAGAAGGCCGGAAGCTATAAAAGCTCCCAAAATTATTCCCTAGTCTCAAATAATAAGCACACTTGTGACATCAGGAGGTTCCTGAACCTAAAGATAAACCCATAAATTGCCGGAAAGACTTTAAAAGCAAGGCTAAAGTAATTAAATTGTGGGGACCAAGTGAGAGATTCGTCTCATCCTTTGATACATGCCAATAATCAAGGAAATTTCGGCGAATCAGCATGGGCGAAGTGACGGAGGGGCTTGGGGGGGTCTAAGCCCCCCCAAAAACCGATTTAGCCCCCCCCCCAAAAAAAAAAAAATCGCACTTCATCACACACACACATATTAGAAAATAGAAATTACAAAAAACCAAACATACTAAAGGTGCGATTTCGGTCAACACGTGTTTTTTTCTTTTTCTTGTTAGTCAAAAATTGACGGAGATACAACGCTTTGCAATGTCCCTCTGACGTCATAACTTATAATACGTTGTGACGTCGCACATGCTCAGTATATCTATATATACAAAACTCAATATTTGAATAACTTCCAAAATAATCATATTTGGACGAAATAAAAAAACACGCATCGATATTTTTCGATTTCCTACAGTTTGCAATAAACAATTTAATTTTCCATGCAAGTACCCTATTGTCAGTAGACGTAGTACAGAGTTGAATTTTGCCTCGGGCCCTATGCTCAAGCCAGCTTAATTTCGCTTGTAGAATCCAATCTTGTCCGAGAAACATTCGAAAAGGTAAAGAAGTCGCATAAATGTACATTTACGTCAGGCAACGCGCGTTTTCTGGGAACTTTATTATATTCTATTCGATGTTTTTCTAGTTAGATGCCGAGTGCGATTCCCACTATAAATAGCGAGTAGTAATGAGTTAGTTTTTAGTTTTAATTTGATATTTGTCGTCTACGTTTCGATAGGTGGTAAGGGAATTTTATGTTAAGACAAATACTTTAATAAAATTAAGTTGTTATTGTTTGTGAAGTGAGTTTCAGTGAACCCAAAATCCGTGACAATTTGGTGTCAGAACTGCAAATATTAACAGACAAAAGAAAATAGAAGAAGACAAAATAGAAGCCCGAAGACAGACAGGTCAGAAAGTCAAGAAGAAGAAGATCAAAGGCAAAAAAAAAACAAGACCGGCTTCAGAACTTTTACAACATCAAAAAGATCAAAGAGAGAAATAAAAACAAGAAGTGGAAGCCCGAAGACAGAAAGAACAGGACTGGCTAGCACTTTTACAACAACAAGAATACCGAAGACAAAAAGAACAGGACCGGCTTGCATTACAGGAAAATTTTGCATAACCTAATCTCTGAGGAACAAACTCGACTCGCTAAAATTCTGGAAGTACCTACAAGATAATAAATTCACTTATGCAATGGAAGAAGTACGCGAAGAAGTCGGGAGTGTTCGTCAGTAAGTTGGAACCATCCGCCAAGAAATTCAGAATAAAATAAAAAAGTTGAAATGGAGAATATCTCCTCTTCAGCTGCACCTGGAATTGAAGTTAAGCCAATACTCTACGACGAACAGACATCATAGGCCATGTACAGACGTCAATTCGAGATTGTTGCAATGGCTAATGGTTGGAGCTCAGATGACATGGCTATAGGGTTGATTGTAGCATTGCGTGGCCCTGCCTATGACAGACAGAGACTCTTCTGCCAGAACTTCCCAAGAAAACTATGGTGAACTTCGATGCGTATTAGAACGTCGTTATGAAGATCAACACCGAAGACAGCTTTACCAGGTGCAGTTAAGAACAAGACAACAGAAAACTGTGGAAAGCTTACAAGAATTTGAAAACGATATCCACCATTAATTTGACCTACCTTGAAGCAGCAGAAGGGATATGAGTACATAGAGAATGCTGCCCATAAACATACCATCAAGCAGCAAAGCCTTGATCGAAGCTCTAGAAATTGAAGTTGGCATACAAGATATATCCAAGCCAAAGATCAGAGCTGTGTCAATACACGAGGAACAAGAACCAATGGTGGAAATTGAAGATACCATGGAGGAAATTCTGGAAGAAATGCGCAAGGGTTTCAAAAGCAATCAAGGCAACTGAAAAGGGGGCATTGAATGTTACCGCTGCGGTAGAAAGGGACATCTTAAACGTGACTGTAGAGTACGGCTAGGATCTCGGTCTTCTTCTGGCTTCTGGTGACTCTCAGCCTTAAAAGGAGAAAGAATTAGTCAACACAGAGGGCCGGGTGTTGACTAGTACAAGTGAAGCCCCCAGAATCATATCCATCAAAATGCTAGGAAAGACTGCGGACAGACCATCAAAGATGAGAGAAACGAAATAAATCATCCAGCGACATTCCAAGACATTTCGAAACATCTTGGCAACATAATTCCTCTACAGAACTAAAGAAGGCTCAACAGTTCGTTTGTGAGAATAAGGATTCCTTTAAGTGTGAGAATGGAGAAACTGGTAAGACGATGAAATCAATACTGACAGTATTCATCCGATTTTTCAACCACCTAGAAGACTTCTCATAACCAAACAACAAGGGAGTGGAGACATTAGTAGACAGTGCTTGCAGAGGTAGTTATTAACCCTAGAATACTAACTATATAAAAACGTAAAATTTACGTGTTCTATGTTTTCGGGTGTTTACGTGTCTGTGTGAAATATTAGTGTTACTGGGTGTGTATTGTGTGAGTATGTTCTTAGTTATGTACATAACATATAACTATAAGTATGTTCAACTAGAACTGAAAGAAAAAATCTCCTCAAAACTTTCATTTATACAGAATACAAAATAATAAATCCAGCCGCTTATATTTTGTAAATTTTGAGAAATAATCTTAATTTTTATTGAATGAACAACACTCAGAACAAATTTGCATTCATATTTTCTCAGAAATACCGCGAAATACGAATAAAACCAATAAAGTTAATTAAAAAGTACTAATCCACGAAAATTTTACGTACAGAAGTGTACTCTTGTGAATCTGGCAGACGTGAAACGACTGGCATTTATTAAACAAAGGCGATGCTTGCTCCTACTGGTATTAGGGGAAGCACTCCTGAAATTTATGCGGACGGGATCACATATTTGGGAAATGGCAGCATATCAAAGAAAAAGCACACCTAAAGTTTACGTGGGTTAGTATTCTAGGGTTAAAGAGTCTTCAAGTCCGTGGTCATCGCCAATTGAACAATTGTTCAAGAAACAAAAAAAGATAATTCTAACAGATTTTGCGTTGATTCCAGAAGCTTAACGACATTGGCAGACTCAAATGGGTTTTTTTCTTGGGATTTAAAAAGCGGATACTGGCAGGTAGGCATTGACGAAAAGGACAAAGAGAAAACAGCCTTCTTCACTCTGAAGGTGGTCTTTACCAATTCAAGGTAATGCGTTTTGGACTCTGGCTACTTTTGCGACGTTGATGGAAATCGTAATACGAGGACTTACATGGAATGGAACTATGCCTTGTCTACCTGGATGATGTGTTTTTCTACCTAGGTAGAAATACTAATGAACCACACGGCATTATAGCCCGGAAAAAACTTTTTTACTAGATTTGTCCGGCCGTGAAAGCCTTCATTCTTTATATTACAGACGATATTGGTTCCAGTCCTAGAGGTATATTAAATAGGGTTGAGTTGAGGTCGCACTGATGAAGGCCAAAAGCGCTCTGCACTGATTTGATAACAATTTTTTTTGCGCACGTAATACAAAACTTTCATTTGCTTGCTTACTAGGTATATTAGGCTACCCACGGGTACATGGAAATTTTATTTTTGACACAGACTTGAGCAACATAGGTATCGTAGGAATGTCCTGTGGCAAATACAAGATTGAGAAGAAAAGGTCATTGAATACTACAGTATAGTCACAAGTAGAGTACTTACCAAGAGAGGAACTGTTAGCAATAGTCAGAGCAGTTGACAATTTTCAAATTAAACACCGCTCTGGTAAACTGCTTAATAACAAAGACGCCCTATCCTGATGGCGACCATGCCCAGCTCAATGCAAACACTATCAACTGAACACAGTCGGTGACAGATTCTATTGGGTGACTTATTACCAGGATGTCAAGACATGGTACCGACAATGCGACATCATAAGTCAACGACCCAAAACACATAAGTAACTTGTAACACTAAGTTACAAATGAAACAGTACAACGTGAGGATGCCCTTTGAACGAATGGCAATGGACTGATAGACATAGCCTGTCTATACTACATTTACACTTCATTCGGATTAAGGGCGCAATTTTGAGTCACTACTATTTCAAAAACCTTACGATTTGCTGGGCATTCACAAAACCACAGTATTGCATCTACAATTAGATGGCATGAAGAGATTCTGCAATACAATCGAAAAAGATTTTCACCGAAGAAGTTGGTACCTCTATTTCTGATGGCATACAGGTCAACCGTACATAACACAATAGGAATTACAACAGCCAAAATTTTGTTTGGAAAGGAGCTTCTACTTCCTGGCCTGAAAATCGGCCCCCAGTATGGGAGGGCCCGTACACGATTATGA